GTAAGCCTTCAGTGAGCCTAGGCAATGATAATGTATCCACGAAGTCATTTTCTGATGTGCAAATCACATTGTACTGGTATACATTAAAATACATGACTAAAAAAACGACATTTACCTGTCATTATAGGTGGAATTGTGTCCTCCCAAAAAATGCATATTGAAATCCTAGCCCCCCTATACCTAAAACTACAACCTGCTTTGGGAATTGGGTCTTCACAGATGTAACCAAGTTAAAATGAAGGCTCACTGATTAGAGTGGGCTTCCTCCAATGAGTGATGTCTTTAAAAGATAGGTGATATGTGGGTACAGGCTTGACACAAAGGGAGCACACCAGCAGGGGCCGGTGACTTGAGAGCTGTGTCTACACAAGGAAGGCCCCTCCCCTTAGAGCTTTGTGAGGAGTGTGGTCCCACTGCCAGTCAGTTTCAGACTGTGGCCTCCAAAACTGTTGGAGGGTGCATCTCTGCTGTTTTGAGTCACCTATGATAGGAAATGAATACCCCCATGTTCTACCTAAAGTTGTGCCCTGTCCCCCACGTGGGACGTTTTTAACAGTTGAGGAGATGCCAGGCTGGGTGCCGTGAGGGTCCTCAGCCCTGCAGTGCAGTGCTGATCCAGCATGGCATCCGTGATTTTCACACTCAGCTATGATCTAAGTGTCAGCTCTCCTATTTATAAATGTGAGGAAAATGCCATTCGAATCGAGTTTGAACAGATCCATCGCCTCAGTTCTGAAAGCCACCACAGTCTGTGCAGCTGAACAGGCTGCTCGGTGCCATCCCCCCAAGCCGCTCGCCAGAGCCGTGACTGGGGCTTGGTGCTTTGTCTCCGTGGTTGTTCACTTGGGCAGGCTTGGAATCACCAGAACGTCCTTTGCTAGGCAGAGGTTATTGCTTGATGATCTCTGAAGTCAATTTTACCTTCTGATTAATTCATTTGGACCACAGCCTAGAGGCTGCTTTTATTACCTGTGCTCTCACCCACGGTCCTCAGCAGATCGCACATCAGTAAGTGCGTGTTCCCGAGGTCCCTTTCCTAGCTGTGTCACAGCAAAATAGCCTCCATCTGTATTTCCCAAATGTGGCACACGCTGGAATCATCTGCATTCCCTACCTTGCACTGTCAGAATTATGTCAGCATGTTTACTTTAGATTTAAAATATTTAGTAACTAAAGTAAGTGTTCTCATTAAATGTTTTTCCATTGTTATCACAATTCTGCATGATGAATTTCTACGCTGGCCCTTTGCATCATGAATTTTAATGCATCTTCTGGGTAACAGCAGCCTTACTGCTAATGCTGGCCCAGATATTTACTCAATAAATATTTCTCAAGCCCCTCCTCTACTCCAAGCCCTCTGGAAGATACAACTGTAGCTTTGTCACATATACAATATCAAAACACCTGCCACTGGAACACAGAAAGGATCCGAGTCCCAGGCTCTGAGAACTTTCCCACAGAGGGAGCCTCCCTGTGGCTTCCTGCTTCCCAGCTGCTGAATGGCGCTGGTGCAGAGCAGGTATCCAATAAACACACATTTTTCTTCCTTTCTCTCCATTCAGGAAGGAGTCAATACACTGCTCCATAGTAACTGTCTTTTTATAATCTCTCTCCGATGACTCTAAGGGACAAGCTGCAGAGGTGTAGCATTCCAGGGTCCAGGACACATCTCGCTGTAGTTCGTTAGCCGTGCAAATGCCCTGTTCAGCACACGTGCCCTTGGGTTGCTCACCTTACTATGTCCCAGTGACAGAGGCAGTGTTGTCAAACTTGACAGCACAGAAATCTTGAAAGTGTTCACAGCCTCTAGTCTGCAAAACTAGACTTCTGCCAACGTCTTTTTTAAGCAGCTTTTTGAGATTCACAGATCATACACTTTACTCATTTAAAGATTTGATTCAGAAGCATTTCCCATATTCAGAGAGACATGCAGTCACTAACCCAGTCACTTGCAGAATATTTTCATCACTTTAAAACCCTCATCCTCTTTAGCTATCATCTGCCCATCCCTGGCATGCCCTAAGCAACCACTAATTTCCTTTTTTGTCTCTAAAGATTTGCCTATCCTGAAAATTTCACATAAATGGAATCATTTAATATCTTTTAATGATCTTTTGTGGTTGGCCTCTTTCTTTTCACATGGTATTTCAAGGTCCACTCACACTGCAGCGTGCATTGGTCAGCACTCTCCTCTTTTTCATGCTCAAATATTCCATTGTGTCGATATACTGCATTTTCAAAAAATGAGTTCATCGGTTGATAACCAGTTAAGTTTTTCCATTTGGCAACTATGAATAATGCTGCTGTAAACATCCGTGTGCAAGTTTTTGTATAAATATATTTTATTTCCTTCTTTCTTTCTTTTTTGAATGTAGACTCAGGAGTGAGATTGCTGGGTCCCTTGGTATTCCTACCTTAACTGTTTTAGGACGTACTAGACACTTTTCCAAAGTAGCTGCACCATTTTATAGTCCCACTAGCAGGGTATGAGAATTCTTATTTCTCTACAACATTGCAACACTTGTTTTTATCTGACTTTTCATGATAATAATCCTAGTGGGTGTCAAACAGTGCCCACACTATGTTTTTTTATTTCATTTGACTAATGATGTAAAATGTCTTTCAAATGCTTATGGATGTATATATATAAATATTTTAAATGTCTATCCAAGTCCTCTGTCCAATTTCTTTTCATTGTTGAGTTGTAGTACTGTTTAATATACTCTAGATGGAAGCCCATTATCATGTATATAATTTTGCAAATATTTCCTGCCAATTTGCAAATTGTCTTTCACTTTCCTGATGGCATTCTTCGAAGCACAAAAGTTGTCAATTCTGAGGAAGTTCAATTTTTCTGTTTTTCTTTGGTTGCTCATATTTCTGGTATCAAATCTAAGAATACCTTGCCAAATCCAAAGTCATAAAAATTTATCCACTATATTTTTTTCTAAGAGTTTGTGGATTTTGATTGATATTTAGGTTTTTAATAATTTTGATTTGGAGCTGGGCGTGGTGGCTCATGCCTGTAATCCCAGCCCTCGGGAGGCTGAGGCAGGAGGATCATTGCAAGTTCGAGACTAGCCTGGGCTACAAAACGAACTCAAGGTCAGCCTGAACCGTATAGCGAGACCCTGTCTCAAAAAGACAAAAAAAAATTTTTTTTAATTTGATTTGTGTGTATGACAGAAGCAAGGCTTTATCTTCATTTTTCATAGGGACATTTGGTTGTCCCAGTGTGTCTCTCTTTCCTTCGCTCTATCTCCTTCCTTCTCTCCCTTTCTCTATTTTTTTTTTTAAATAATACTGCGTCTTGGACACTGGGGCTTCACACTGAGCTACATCAGCAGCCCTTTTTCAAAATTATGAGATAGTGTCTTTCTAAGTTGTTAAATTGCCCAGGTGGGAATCGAACTTACAATCAAGAAGTGGGAGTATTCTTTTTTTATGATTGTTTCAGCTCTTCTATATCCTTTGTAATTCCATATGAGTTTTAGAATCTGCTTGTTAATTTCTTCAAACAAATCAGCTAAGATTCTGACAGATTTTTCTCTAATGATAGTACAGTTTGGGTATACTGCCATCTTAGTAACATGTTTCTTTTTGCATTTTGCTGTATGTCTTAGTTACTTTTCTCATTGCTGAGACAAAATATCCAACACCCACAGTTAAAGGAAAAGTTTATTTAGCTCACAGTTTGTGGTGGTTTCAGTCCACAATCAGCTGGCTCCACGGCAGGGTAGTACATGGCAGACGGGCAACAGTTCATGGTGGTGGAACACAGCAAAAGCAACAACAGAACCTTAACATCATCTTTCAGCCCCTTTCATATCCTATTCAGGCAGCTGGGATTAGGGCGGTACCTTTTTCACTGTGGCCTGATCCAGCCGTCACCCACCCCTAGTCACAGCGCCCCGAATCCCAGCATTGCATTACAAGTCAGTCACACACTCTAGAGTCAGGCACCTCTGAACACGGCCCATCTAAAACTGCGTGAGGCTCTGGGGGGACATCCAGATCCAAACCATAACACTATACTTCTTAAAACTTCTTTCAATAGTGTTTAAAGCTTTTCAGAGTATAAGTTTGAATTTCTTTTGTTTAATTTGTTAACTACTTAATCTTTTTTACTGCTATTGTAAGTAGAATTGTTTTTAATTTCTTTTTCAAATTACTCAATGCAAGTGTATAGAAATACAACTGATTGTTTTGCTTATTGATTATTATCTAGCAACTTTCTGAACTAATTCATTAGTACCCATGATTTCTTAGGATTTGGGATGTATAAGAGATCCTGGGTTTTTTTTTCCTCTTATCTAATTGTTTTCTCTTGTTTCTGATATTAGAGAACAGCATCCAATCTTTCATCATTAACTGTGATGTTAGCTGTTGCAGTTGTACAGTTAAGAAAGTGCCTTCTGGGGGCTGGGGATTTAGCTCAGCGGCATAAGCGCCTGCCTTGCAAGCAGGCAGTCGTGAGTTTGATACCCGGTACCGATAAAAAGGAAAAAAGACAAAAAAAAAAAAAAAAAAAAAAAAAGAAAGTGCCTTCTAGTCCTGATACATTGAGGGATTTTATCATGAGAAGACACAGGATTTTGTTGAAAGTTTTTCTGCATCTCATGTAGTCTTTTTATCCTGTCAATATAGTGTATTACATTAATTTATTTTTGGATATTAAGCTAATTTTGCATTCCTGGGCCAGAGGAGGGAAGTACTGGTGTTGGACAAGATAGAAGAGTGCCAGGAGATTGTGACACACCAGCAGAGACCGCAGCAGGGCCACTGAGGGGGAAATGTTTGGGTTTCAGGTCTAAGTCATCAGTAGCCAAGATAGTGACTTTTTCTTTTAACCACGGAGGTACTTGTCTCCCAGTTCCTATTAAAGGTGCTTTAACTGGGGAGGCAGATGCTTCAGTCTGCTGATTCCCCGAACTGCAGCCTGACCTCTGCTCGTGCACGGCCTTCTTCCTTAGCCAAGACAGTCACTATAGAAGTGTGCCTGGGGAGCCCCACAGCATGAACTGCTACAGCATGGACCCCCGTTCCACCACCTGTCAGCACGAGGGTTCTTGGCCTCCTTCCTCACTGTACTGCAAGAAGCTGAGCTCTGGAGACTTCCGTCTCGGGGGAGGCTCTGCTGCCACCACCAGTGTTCCACAGGTGCCCCCATGTGCTCTGGAGGCTCCTCAGCACCTGGACTGAGGCCCCCAGCCTCCAGCCCCAAGGGAAATGGAATTCTCTGGAAGGAAACAGATGTGGAAATGTAACACATGCCTTGGCCCCCTGTGACTTCTCTCCTGCACTCACCCTGGGAACACAGCAAGGGGAGGAGGGCATGGCTGCCTGAACATGGACCACCAAGGGGCCAGAGGTTTCCACAGACTCTGTTATGAATTTGTGCTGTTTTTGGAGCCAATTAATCTCAATTTTGACCATGGACAAAGCAAACAGGAAACTAGGGTAGTCTGAGCTGTAGGTAGCATCAGTAGACTCCAGAATGGGCACTGGCTCAGATGTCATAGAAGTTTTTGTTTAAGAGTCCATCGTAGGTGTTCCTAGTTGCTAGGTGTGTCCCAATGCAAGGACCCAGGCCTCACCCATCTTGAGGCAGTACCATCCTCTGTCACATCATGCCTCATGCATCTAGTGGATAAAAGGGGACAGAAGAAGTGGAGAAGCCCACATAGAGAAGGTACACACGCTTCCCTGGAGCCAGGCAGGGACACTCATGCATTCACTTGCATTCCATTGGCAAGAGCTGGTCATTTGTCACTCCTAACTGTGAGGAAGTCTGGGAGCTGTAGCTCTGTGCTGAGGAAAAAGAGGAACCAGACTTTGGTAAAGAACCCTGTGAAGACACAAACAAAAGTATAAACCCTAAAATGATATTTCTCAAGGTACTTCTGTGTCACCTACTGCAGAATGCAACATAGGGAAGTACTTGGACCAACATAGGGATAACTCGGGGGGCCTTTCTGATGGGTGATTTCCAAAACCATCTTTAAGCTTCAGTATTTCATTCATGAACAGAGCTGATGGCAGATTGGATCATCTCACGGCTGTTATCCTGGGCAGGAATCCTGGATCTGCTCTTCCTAACAGGGTGGCCCCTCGCAAGTCCAACTTCTCTGTGCCTCAGTTTGTCATCTGTGAAGTTGCAATGATGATAATACCACCCTACTGCATAGGATTATGGGGAGGATTAAAGACGTTCGTACATATATTTAGTACAAGGCCTACGTATAGTTAAGAGCTCAATGCATGTTCATAGTCACCGATCCCATACACGCATCTTTCAGTGAATCACAGCCCCATCGACTCTGCAGCCCATAGCTACTTACAAAAGGAGTCCCCAGATCAAGGAGTCAGGCATCCAGCCTCTCTGTAGCAGCCCCTGGGGTGGCTGTATCTTCTGGCCATGGATCTCCTGCCATGAGCCACACTGAAGAGTTCTTTGTGTGATGCAAGGTGCTCCACACGGTCCTGTCAGAGAACTCATCCACCCCAGATGAGCACAGCCCCGGCGGGCCCAGCTGGCCAGAATGGAGAGGGGAGCGGGCCGTGAGGCACAGGTGGCTCTGAGGGACAGAGCAGTGGGGGCTCTCGTCAAGCACAGAGGTGTCACGCAGATCACTCCCCAGCACTGTCACCCAGGGCCACTGACTGAGCAGAGGATTTAAGTAGGCCGAGCCCCATTTTCCAAAGAAGAGAAACATCATTTCATTTGGTTCCAAGAAAGAAGGGGTCAGATCTGGCAGGCACCAATATCTTCAAGAGGGGCAGCATTTACTTCATAGGTGTGTCCCCAGAGGGAGCATAAAATTGGCACAGTGGAGTGGTCACTAAGAAGGCACTGTCTCTGTGGCCTCACAGTGTCCCTGGCTGTCAAAACCTTCATCCTGGTGTCCTGCTGCCTTTTAAATGTCCCTGTCTCTCTCCCTCTTCTCCTCAACTCAATTCCAATTTTTCTCAGGGTGACAGTCACAGGACACTGCAGTGCTTGAAAGAAGTCCTAATCCTGAAGGTATTGCCCCTTCTTACAAAGGGGATATTTATTCGCTGTCCCATTCATGTGGGTGACATCTCAGGCCCTGCTTCTTTATGTGCAGGAGTCTAAGCAGGAGAGGGGCACGACCTGGCTGGAGAAACAGGCGTCATCTGCCCCACCCCACCTGCCTATGACACTGGGCGTCCTTCACAGGGCCTCAAGGTAGTGCCCGCCCCCAGTGCCTCAGTATCTCCTCTAGCAGGGCCTCTTGCACCTCCCTTTTACCCATGGCAGCTCTTTGTTCTCCTGAAACATAACCTCCCTGAGCAATCTGGTCAGACAGCTGCTGGAGGAGAGCCTGACCGCTGGCTCAGGACTCAGCTTTACAAAGCCCTGTCCGTGGGACCCCAGTCACACCCAGGGGAGCCCCTGAGCTCAGGACTTCGCTCTCTTGGGGTGAGATCAGAGTAACAGCCCACTGGCACCCACCTCTTTCTGCTACAAGCAAACCAATAACTGTGTCCTGAAGCTGGTTGTCTTTTTTGCAACTTAGAAAAATTAAAAAGAGCCTTACTGAAAAGCTGAACATTGAAGCTGGGCCTGTAAAATGTTGGAAATCACAGGGCCAGCCTTGGCATAAAGCTGCTGTAGGATGTAAGGGTTGAAGGGAGTCTTTGTGATACATTGGAAGCAAATGAAATTATTTGGCCTTTGCGAGGACCTAAACTATTCCATGTGCCAAAGTGTCCATTTAACAGGCGCCTTCTACAGAGTTCTGAATGAAACCGGGGTTACCGGGACGAGCCCCTCAGCCTTGCACGGTCTCAGAAGCAAGATGGGGAATAAGTGGGAAGAAAGGCGGACCGAGGTCAGGCCAAGCATCTCTGGAAGAGCTTTCCACTTCCATTTGTATTTCAATGGCCAGAGTTTAGTCACATGGCCGCTAGCAGCAAGGGAAGCTGGGAAATTTGGTTTCAATTTCAGGATTTGAATCCCTGCCCCGCAGCCTCAGCACAGGGTCTTGTTGGAGGCCTACATTAAGTTGCTTTCATTGAGCACCTACTGCAGACTGCTCTCCATACATTATTTATTATTTGTTTTAAGTTAACGTGTTTATAATTTACAATAAGAAATTGATTGCATTACATCCAATTTATAAAGCAGGATCCAGAGGTCAGACTGGGATTGAGCCAAGATTTGATTTCAGCCTCCTCTAAAGTCTGGATCTTTCAAAACTCCCCCCGGGGATCTTCCAGCTGTATGTAAAGGGTTTCCAGAGGTCCCCCTGAGGGTCTAGTGTATGGAGAAAAGTGGGTGAGCACAGACAGGATTCCAGGCTCCCTGCACCTCTCTTAAACAGGGCCTGTTCACATTTGCAGAATGCAGTTCTGTGTGTGCCTTGCTTGGCCAAAATTCGCACAGGGAAAAATTAATTGGGAAACCAGAGGATCTACTATGTGCAATTGGGTGGTGATATACTCAGTGGCTGTTACTCTGATCTCAGCTAGGACCCTGAGAGAGCTCAGTGGCTTCTTAGCCACCTGCCCGCTTGCAGCCCTACTGTGCATCCTGAAGGCCATTCAAGTCACCCTCCAGAGGCCTGTTCAAGGCACTGAAATTACATCCCGAGTCAGATCAGTTGGCAACAAGAAGCCAATCCTCTTTCAGAGGCTATGACCCAAGTCGCACACACTAGAAGAAGCCTAGAAACGGATTTTTCCCTAGAGTGCTAATCAGAATGGTCTAAAACCACAGAAGCCAGAAAATGGCACGAGGCTGCAGGCAGGAGGGGAGGTATCAGTGAGATGACAGATTTCTCAGCCACCTCCTGTCTCCTGCGGGATGCTCACCCTGGCCTCCTGCTGTCTTGATCGATCTCCCTGTCTCCCTGCCAGTGGCTCTGAAGGATTGTGCTCATGAGGCGCCTGTCCCTGGGGTTTGCCGAGGCTGTAGTGCATGCTCAGGAGCTCTTCCCTGGCTCTCACTGAAGGAAGATACAATCAGCAGGAGCTATAACGAGGCTTCAGATAGCAAGGGCTTCCTGCCTTCTGCACTGAGCCCAACAAGCTATAGAATTCCCAACCACAACTCTTGGCTCAGGACTCAGAATCCAGGAACAAAATAAATCTGACATTGTTATCATAACCCAAATGCTTCCTGTGGCTTGGCTTTTGCCTTGGTGGGGTATGGCACTGAGTGACAGCTAGAAAAAGAATGGGGACAGTGCTCTTGGGGTGCAGAGAGGCATGAGACTCACTCATGCTAGGGACGGGAGAGTTTGAGTGGGGACAGTGAGGGAAGCTCAGCTGGACGATTTGGGACCCATGTCCAGCAGATCACACCAAGCCTCTAGTAACCATAAACCGGATTATTCTGAGCAGGGAGGAGCTGATGGCTGTGGGATTTAGGAAGATGGACCTACTGGCCATTTGGGAAATAATGTATATGAAAAAGAAAGCAGTTAACGCATGGTTTCTTCTGGCTGTTCAACATTCACTGTCCTATCCCACTGAAACCTCCCAGCAGCCCAGCGTGTAGGTGGTACAGGCGAGGTACCTGACTCAGAGAAGCTGTGATCAAAAGTCCACAAATGGCTTCCTGGGCAGAAAAGGCCAGAGGCTCCTCTTCCAAGGTCTCACGATAGAGCTGCGAACCACACACACATGGACACTGTGCTCAGAGTGTGTGCAAATCCCAACAGTCAGTCAGACAGACAATGACAGCTTATTACACACACTTCATGAAAACTGGAATTCTAGCTGGAAAGCAGAAGTGTGGCAGCCGTGCGTAGCTGAGGGGGAGGTCGTGCCAGGGACAGTAGCACTGGCTGGAGCAGGCTGGGGAGAAGGAAGGGGAACCAAGCTGGCAGAGTGTGCAGCTCATAGGAGGTGGCCTTGTTTCTACAGGACCAGGTCACTTAGAGATGCCGGCCGTGGATCTGCCCTCCGTCCCTCCCCTTCAGCTCCACATCCCCTTCCAGCCAGCTCTAGCTGCCAGAGAGAGGCTGGGGGATGACAGCAGCCCAAGGGGAGCCTGCAAGGGATGGTGGGCTCCCTTTGAAGGTGTTGTCAGGCTCCAACTCTGAGCCACATACTCACGTGACTCATAAAATACTCTGAAGAATCGACAAATGATCGGCCCAATGGGCACAGAAAGAAACTGAGGCCCACTGAGAATATCTGGGCCAGGAAGCGACCAGCAGCCAGTGGTGTGTTTTACCTGTGGATGCACTGTGAAAAAGTAACTTCTTCTGCACCAGCAGCCTGTGGTGAGAATGCCCTTGGTGGGTGGGACCCCAGGGATCCTGCCCAGTGCCTCTCCTGCACCACAGAGAAGCCCGGGGATGACCCCATAGCCACGCGGCTCATGGCTTATTCGAGTCTCCCCCAACACTCCATTGTTAACTAAAGTCTCCTCTGAATTATGAATGAGCAAAGGCAATTATGTATATACTTGTGGGTATGCGTAGGACAGAGAGAGAGATTTGCACACATGGTATGAGCACTTGTGCTTTGGCAGCGACTGGGATTGCTTTTGAACATGACTCACTTTCTCTGTTTCTGCTAATGACAAGTTCAGCTTTAGAAATAAGATGTAATTATACATCCATTCACCACCGAGCTTTGTTTTGAGCGTCTCCACGGCCCTCGGAGCAGCACGACCAAGTACGAGGTTCTCCACTGGAGGACGCTGCCGTCTCTCAGGGTGGGTGGCCAGCACTTGCACGCGGTGTCCCCGCAGGAGCAGAGGTGTTCACTCTGTCGCAGCTCACCATCGACCCTTCACATCTGGCCGCGCTGACTGTGTCAGCCTGGCCCCGTGCGCCTTCCTGACACTTCTGCAGCAGCTGGGGGAGGGTGTTTCTTTCTTTGTGAGCACAGACCACTGTGCAAGCTTGGCCAGCCTGCCGTGGAAAGTTCCATTTCTTTCCTTCTGCTGTGAGTTTATGTGCTTTGGGCCAGGAGCAAGTCCCAAGGCGTGATTGGGCCTCCTGCCGCTCTGTCTTGTTTGCCGAACAGGCCCACTCAGAAGCACTCCTGAGCCCACCGCAGCGGCTGCTGCTTGTCCCGGAAAGCAGAGCGATGCCACAGCTCCAGCTGGCAGCCCGGAGCACACCTCCTGACTGTGTTCGCTGGTCTCCACAGCCATCACCCAGAGGCCTCCACCTTAGACAGCCTGCCCTGGTGGCTCTGGCTGATGAGAAAGCATTTTCCTGATCTCTCTCAAAGGACTGTAGGATCCTGCAAATGATCCTGTTAATATTCTGGTTTTTTCCCTTCCTGGAAAATAGGGAATTAGATTTGACCTCTGCTGTAATCACTCTAAAATCATTCTTGGTCCACAGACTTCCCGCCTTTGTAGTGAGAGCATCAATCACCACTCTGCTTAAAGCCCGAGCTCTGGTGGGTGGACCCTAAAGACAAATGTGATTTCCATGATTCTTCATCCTCATTTGGAGGGCAGATGTCTTCAAATGGAGTAAAATCATCTCTAGTAAGCATTGGTCAGGATTCAGGTGGCTCTGAGTGGCATTAACAGTTTCTCAGCAAAATGTCCTATGCCAAACCACCTTCTGGGGCCCTTCAAGGTCCAAGGAAAAAAAACAACGAAAATCACAGAGGAAATCCAATTCCCAACCAAACCATTATTTACTTAGGACAGACTGGGAAATTATTTACTTAAGGTATTTCTCAGCACTAATGAAGCCCTGGTACTTCTCAAGCACAAAAGAGCAGTGATTATGCAAGAAACCTATATGCCTGTCAACAGGGCAGAGGATAAAAAAAACATGGTGTCCTCACATACTGGAATACTACTCAGCCATAAAGAAGGGTAGATTTGAGTCATTTGCAGGAAAATGATTGGCTCTTGAGACCACAAGTCTAAGTAAAATAAACCAGGCACAAAAAGTTAAATATTGCATAGTTTGTCACATGAAAAACCCAAAATATAAGTAATTTCAGAAGCAAAATGAAGGGACATGATAGGGAAGAGGAAGACAGGCTTTGCGGAGACAGGAAGGGCTCTGGGGAAGAAGGACGCGGGAAGATAGAGCGGGAGATGATTGTGCTGTGTCCGTACACCACTTTCCCAAGACCGATGGAAATCTTTTTTTCTTTTTTCTAATTTTAAAAGGAAAAAAAGAATAAAAATGATAACACAGAATTTTAAAACAAAATAATAGGAGATTAACAATGGTTAATATATTGCAGAACTCCCTAGAACCCCCCAATAATAATAATAATAAATTCAAAAAATAAAAATAAAAAATAGAATTAAAGATTTCCCATACAAGGCTTCTGAGTAAATGACCTAGACTGTTTCAGCAAATCTATTGATTCACCTTATATTTACCCTACGCGGAGCCATGGAGCATTGTAATGTACGACCTCTAACCAGAAGACCATGCTTTATTTTTCACCAAACACTTCACCCAAGCCCTTTACAGAAAAGGTGTCAGTAGTTAGGAAGGCACAGGGAGAATCCTCGGGAAATTAAAATCTGGTTGCGAGTCAGAGAAAAGCCCGTAAACAGTTGGTCTACAAAGCACAGTGTAGACAGCAGCTTGGGTCAGGGTAAAAGGGGAGAGGCAGGTGATGTGCGGACAGCGAGAGAGGGCAACATTGCTCACACGGGCAGCTGGGGTTCCCCGGCTGGGACAGCCAGTGGGCATCGGTGGGAGGCAGGAGGTGCAGGTCTCCTGACAGAAGCCAGGGTGCCAGCTAAGGATGAAGACGGTGGGAGACACTGGCCTTGGGGAGACTCTGTGGCCCGCCTGACCCAGCTCAGCCGGAGGGCTGGCACTCCTGGGTTCCGGTCTTCACAGCTGCCCTCCGGCTGGAGAGTGTGGCCACGTTACTCCCGGTGTGGCCGGCTCACATTGTTAGCAGCCAGCAGCTCTGGCGGTCTCTGCCACCAAAACACTTCTCCCCCTCCTTCTAGGAAGGAAAGGTACCACGGAGACCAAAAGCAGCCCTTGATCTTGGGGTACAATGTCTGGCTAGGGGGACCCTCGGAGAGTCTGAGAGATGTGCCCAGACACAGCTGGGTCTCAAGAATGGCAGCAGCTGGTGGCAGTTCTGCGCTGGGGCAAAGAGACCTGTAGGAAACTGTCACAGGGGTTGGCGAGAGGTTCTGAGCCAAGCTTCAGCGGGGATAGAAAGGGGGGATAGGCACCCAGAGGTGTCCTCCCCAGTGCTGCAGAAGAATTAAATGTGGGGAGCAAAGAAGAGGGAGGAGGTGGACAGTGGAGGGGGGCACTGGCCCTGGGGGCAGAGGATGAGTTAGGTTAGGGTGCACACGAGAACAGGTGAGCCCTGGCCACCCCCAGCCAGCTGCTTCCTGATCCCTCCCACTCTGCCGTCCTAAGCACGTCCATCCGCTGCAAGGGAAGTGATGCTCACAGACGGTGCCCACGGAGCGGCTTGGCCAGGCGCAGGGGTGGCCCTGGGCATCTCAGGGCCATGCGAAGAGCAGAACCAGTGCTCTGATGGCCTCCGCGGGCGCCTGGGCAGTGAGTACAGTGACACACTGTCCTGCCGTGGGTTCAGACAGAGGTGGAGAACTCAGAATCAGGGCTGGTGTGGTCGAGGTGGGGATTAGCCATTCTGCAGAGGCCCAGCCTGAGACCAATAGGCACACTGCGTCTTCAGTGTCTCAGAGTGAAGCCCATGGGGCAGACAGGGCCCACGTTGGACTCCAAGGCACCAAGTGTCCCCTCACCCAGTCCTCCCCAGTCAGAAGTGGCAGGCAGCACCAGGTAGGCACCGAAGCCCAGAAACTCACCGGCCCCTCTGCTTGCTCCGTTCAGCCTCCAGCCTCCCTGCAGATGGCCAGGACGCCAGGCCACCGAGGACCAGAAACCCTGCCACCTGGACCGTGGAGGACGTGGTCCGGTTTGTGAAGGATGCTGACCCGCAGGCCCTGGGGCCGCACGTGGAGCTCTTCAGAAAGCACGTGAGCTCGCGCAGGGGCTGGCTGGGGAGCGGGTTGGGGGTGTTTCAGGATCCCCAGGTGTGGGGGTCTGGATGGATCCCTGGGGCACCCTCGAGGGAGACAGAGATGAGAAAGAGACAGATGCAGCCACAGGCGTCTCAGAACGGAACACCCACTTGATTCTGTTTATAAGGGCTATTGGTCCCATCTGTTCTCATTTTGGCCTTCATCAGGCGCGCCTGCTCTCCTGCACATCCATCCGTCTGTCTGTGCCTCCAACAGTCATTTATCGCACACCTATGTGTGCCAGGAGGGCTGGGAGACTGCCTATGCTCGGCTGCTTTGAGGACTGAATGAGAAAATGCACATAAAGCACTCGGCGTGGCGCTGGCTTGTAGATAGCCTTCTGTTAGCGGGTATTGTTACAATTACTCGGGCAATTCTGAAATATATTAAAGATGGTAAGGGAACAAAAATGAAGGTAAGAATTAATATTTTATCTCCAAGCTTACTCTATTAGTTCCACGTTGCTACTGTAAATTACCACAAACATAATGGCTTTAAAAACACAAATTTCTCACCTTACAGTTTGTAGGTCAGGGCCTGACCGGGGTCTCCCTGGACTGCGACCAGGTGTCGGTCAGCAGGACTGTGTTCCTTCTTGGATGTTCTGGGAAGGATCTGTTTCCCGTCCTTGGCCAGCTCCAACACAACACATTCCTTGTGTTCCCCCTGAGCTCAGTTTTCAAGCCAGGGACATCTAGTAAAACCCCCTGGAGGCTGCCTCTCTGGGGATCCTGTCTTCTGACTTTCCTCTACTTTTAAGGACCCTTCAGCTCTCCCCATAATCCTTGTTTAATCTCCCTACTTCGAAGTCAGCTGACCAGCACCCTGAATCCTAGCCTGACTTCCGCTTTACCAAGTCCCCTAACCAAGTCACACAAAGTTCAGGGATTAAGATGTAGTCATCTCGGAGGAAGGGGAAGGGACATTAATTATTCTGCCTGTCACCAGACCAATTTCCCCACCTCTCTGTTCCTCATTTTACTTGGTAATTCAGATCCAGGGCGGACCTTCTAATTCAACACTCACATTTTGTTAGGCACACTTTAAACACTGCCTGACAGTGGGGGCTGTGTGTAGGCAGATTGGCCAGGGGCAGTCTGGCTTTCTTCCCAGGGTGATAGGAGATGGTGGGGGTCCACAAGGTAGGGTAAAGAAGGGTCATCAGGAAATGAGGCTCCTGAGGGGGACCCACAGATGGGCTCCCCCGACCCCTGTCACTTTACCAAGGGTGTAGAAAGTCAGCCATGCTGAGCAGGCACTCCATCAGTATTGGATGGAGGGATGGAGGGATGGATGGATGGATGGATGAATGAATGGATGGCGGGAGTGGCTGGTGAGCTCAGTGATGCGAGTTCCCTGTATCTCTTCTCCCAACCTGAAAAATAACGTTTGTTGAGTGAAGAAGACAGCCTGGCTAGCTTCATGAATCCTATAGCCCCTGTGTGGGTAACAAATATCATAGATGGGATACTGGGAACAGAGCTGGGGGGGAGCACAGGGTACTAGTTTACTTTAACTTTTTGCAAAAGGAGATCTTGCCCTCAGGCCCAGAGAATATGTGGGGAGCACTGTGCACCTTAGCCACGTTTTGACTGTTCTAATCATTTTCTGGGCCTTTTCTGATCCTGTTCCACCAGGAGATCGATGGCAATGCTCTTTTGTTGCTGAAAAGTGACATGATCATGAAGTACCTGGGCCTGAAGCTGGGACCTGCCCTGAAACTCTGTTACCACATTGACAAGCTGAAGCAAGCCAAGTTCTGAAATGATCTGAATGACAGACGCCAAACCCAAGAGAACAGACCTCAAGATTAACCTCTACCTTACCAGCATCCCGCTAACATCACCAAGCAGATTCGCCCCTCACACTCGCAGAGACTTGGCCTTTTTATAAAACATGTGTACCTTTGCCTTTTCATTCAGTATACTTTTTTCGAAAGGCTTGTATGTGTCACTGACCTGCCCAAAAAAATTACAAAAAAAACCACCTCTGTTATTGTTGACACTCTTGGTGTGTTGGGTGTTCCTGGGATGGGTGCTTTTGTCTAAGGAGGCACAGGGGTATGAATGCTTTTGCCCGAGGTGAGCCCTGGAGGGTCCAAAGGCTGTAAGAAAAGCTTTGTCCATGAGGATGGTGCAGGGACAGCACAGCACAGCACCCCTGCCTCTCCTCTGACCTGGGGACCTTTCCGTATGAGCCTTGCTGGACTCAGCTTGGAAGCTGACCTCTGAGGATGACTCCCTCACCTTCACTATCCGGAAAACTTGATTTTCTTTTTTTTCTCTAAAAGGAAGGAGGGGAGGAGGCAGATCCTTTCTATCCCTAGTTACCTGAAGTACTGCGTTGCTCCACTGGAGGGCAGATTGCTAATGAAATCTCACTACCACTGAGTGCAGTCGCTTGCTTGCTTCTTCTGAACTGGGTGGCTGGGCTGGGGTTTCCAGGAACACGGTCCAGTTTACACCAAAATAGGGAATTTACTCCGAGGTCAGCAATGCACACTGCAGCTCTGGGAGGAACTACCCCCTAGAGGGTCCACGCTCCTATCCAGTCGTTAGCTACTGACAGACAGGCAGCAAAGGCATGAGCTGGGAGGCGTGCACAGCCCAGATGGGCCTTGGGATGCCTTCCTTGTCAGAGCCCTCACTGTGGCATCCAGGCGTTGGCACACTTAAGATCGTAGTGACATTTCGCCGTGGGTGTTTCTTGTAAAAAGAAAAATGTCTCGACTAAGCTTCGAAATGGGAGAGTTCTGATTTCTAATTACATTGCTGGATTCTGTATTTGTATCTGTGGCTAATTTTTCTAGTTCTCCACAAATACACAGACATGCTATTATTGGGTTTAATTCAATTTACAAATAGGTTTCCTTCCTCACCATGGAGTAATAGAAAAAAATTGATTTTCTACTCCATCACAGCTGTGTCCAGAGAAGTATAATGAACCCACAATTTACTAGGCAGGAAGACAGCCTCTTCTCTGCTAGTCTCTCTCTCTCTCTTTCTTTCTTCTTTTCCTCTCTTTATTCTTTCTTTATTCCCCCTGAAAGGAAACATAGCTTCACAATAAATACGCCTTTGATGTTCTTTTTCTTAAAAAAATACCTGCAGAGTCAGAGAGGAGACCTTGTCATCTAAGGGATGGTGAGGGACGCTGATAGCCCAGGATCTCCACTGGCCCAAACATGACTTAGAAAAGGGCCCGCTGGGCAGGGGCTATATCTCAGCGGCACAGTGCCTGCCTGCAAGCACAAGCTCGAGAGTTTGATTCTGGTACCAAAAAAAGACAGAAAAAGCTCAGCTTCCTCCAGGATGCAGCCTGAAGGGGGTCTTAGCGGGCAAGCGGAACTGGATGAGATCTCACGTTCCCCTGACCGCTGGCCAGCTGCCCTTTGTGGAGCATGACCCGCATGGCCTTGAGGGCAGCCCTGGGTGGGTCTGCATAGCAAGCCTCTGTAAATCAATTTAAATGAAGACCATAAGACACATTCCACACTGTGCTACTGGGCCCACTTTGAGGAGCAGCACTGAAGAAAACACTTGATAACAGAATGTTTTGGACCCAAAAATGGTGGCTGATTTAGACTGTGACAGAGAAGGGAAAGAAGAGAGGTCCCAAACTTGTCACTGAACTGAGCTTGAGTGGGGTGCTATAGGGCAAAAAGTCTGTTGACTTCAATCAGCACAGGCAAAACTAACTTGAGTCAGACAGAATCTTCAAATGTTAAAGTGATGAACAGACTCTGTCCCTCAAAGGTTAGTTACTGCTGGGAGCTCCCTAATGCTCTAGACTTGGATAATTCCCCCCAGAAGGTCCGGCAGCTTACCTATTCAGAACTGCCTGCCTGAAAACAGAGTGATCATCTGGTAACCTGAATGGTTGTTATGAAGATAAGCTATATGCAGTATAACAACCATTGCTAAATTCCTACCTTCTTGTTTTGAAAACTTATATAGCTATTGTTGGGTTTATTATTGTCATTTTGCTTTTGTTGGGTTTTTTTTTTTTTTTTTTTTTGGTGTGTTTGTTTCTTGGTTTTTCTGTTTTTTCTTTAGAAAGAAAGAAAGCAAGCAAACAGTGCGATCCAGAAAGATTCCTCGGCAGCCTAGGCGCTCCTCTCCTTGATTTTGGCTCGTCCCTTGCTGCGGTGCATCCTCCTCCACCAGCAAGTGCCACCTTTAATGACTTGCAGCCTTAAGCTTTCTTTTTCTTTTCAAAATGTCCAGTGACCCTCACCAGCGCCTCCCTGGCTACAAACACATAAACCATGGTGCCCCAAATAAAATCAGCCCCAGGCCATGCCTGGGGTGATTTTCCAGGGAGAGTCCTGTTCCTGTGTCAAGCCTAGGAGAAAACTGGCACGGCACCCTGTGCAGTTGCTGCCACCCAGGTGCTGTCCCATCCAAGTGGAGCTTTAAGCAGGCCAGATTGCTGAAGCCTTGGTATTTAAGGTTTGACTTTTAAAAAATCTCACTGCTTTTAAACTGAATGCTGCCATAAGGGAGAATAACCTGGAGAGGAAATGCCTCTTGCTTGTTTTTGTATTGAAATGCAATTAGCTGACCAAATGATTGTAGCTATACTGCAATTATAATTAATTTTCATCCCTCTCAAAAATCTTGTCAAACCAGGCAGTTAAAAGAGCTTTTCAAATGTAGAACATGCCAAACCATTGCCTCCGAAGCAGACCTTAAAGGGTCAGGCCAGGGGGTCATGGTGGCCCAGATGAGAGCTACTTGAGGGCCTCACACTTGACAGATAGGGTGCTTGTTATTCCATTGTGGTAGCTTGGTTTCAGGTTGTAATGAATAATGATACTGTTTTGCATAATTTCAAATTAAAGTGTGTGCGTTCATGTTCTAAACATTTCCAATTACATTTGTACGTTAAACACTTGAAAAGAAATCAAGAGACAATTCTATTGCCTAAGGCATTTTGAATATTTTATGAAGCACATTATTTCCTTTGTGAAGACCTTAGGTAAAAGAGGGGGGGTGGGTGTGAGTGTGTGTATGTGGCCTTGGAAAGGTCTCGGCAGCAAGGTGGGAGGCATTTGTTTGGTTTAAAATGCTAGTGGCCTTTGTCTCCAGGTCCCAGTCCCTTGTCACCCACTGGCTGTGACTGCTAGCAGTGCCCTTTTAGGCAAGCAAGGTATGCCCTACAGGCGGCTGGGTTACCACAAGGGCTCTGGGGTTCTGGGCCCGTTCCCTCAGGAACTGGACATTTCAAACTGGACAGTTCACCCGGGACAGAAAAAAGACATCTGTAGAGCTCCAGGCGGGCTGCAGTTCCTAAGCCCTTGCTTGTTCAGAGCACCCCAGGGAGGATACCAGGCCCCGCCCTCTCCCTTTAGCAGGGCTACAAGGTTTTTCTTCTCAGCAGGAAAGCAGGAGTGAAGATTAAACTTAGGAAGGAGTACTGGGTTGGGTTTGGTTTCCTCGAGAGAAAAAGGAGAACAAAATCTAACATTTCTTAAGGGGGAAAAAAAAAATCAAAGAACAACTATTCTAACAGTCCTGACCCAGGATGTGGCATTGACCTGTGTCTGTGTTTATGTATGGAGTATCTTATTTTTCTAATTAAAATTATTTTTTAAATTAGCCTTTGAGATTTTTTTTAAGAAGAATTTTTGTCAAATCCTGGGGGAAAATTAGAAATGCCAGAAGTGACTGGGGACTTGAATTTAGTCATTGACAGAAAGCCCTGAAGGATGGAAATATCCTGCTCTCTTTCTAAAGCTATGGCCAGATCTTCGCAAGCATACGCGGCAGGCGTGCCCACTCCCCAGCATGGAGGCTCCTTTCCAACTGTCCTCCAGGGGCTACAGGAGGAAGGGGTGTGCATCACTTTTGTCTAAACCTCAGTAACAAGACACAGAACTGGGTAGAGGCTGATTGTTTTTTAAGCTGCTATACTGTGTTGAGGTGGGTGCAAACCTGTGCTGGGACCAATTTGCTTTTTTTTTTTTTTAATTATAAACACACTGTAAAGACCAAACACTCGCCTGCCTCTCCTGTGGTCTTGCCATGTGCTTTAAACCCTCACCCCATTTCTGGCATGAGAGGACCACACTGAGTACCCCAAGAGGAGCCCAGCAGATGGTCAAAGACGTGCCTGGTTCCATCTTGTGAAATTTAAGTGGGCAGCCGTATCTGCCCATCCTGGGCTTGCTGTGGTGCACAGGGCTCTGGGGCCTTGGTTTCCGGGGTGCCACCTCCCTCCCAGGCTGTCCTAGTCCAAGGCGATCCCTTCACGGACAATTGGAGGCTGGATGTTTGGAAATCTAGCATTTGCTTGAAGGAGGATCACTCTTATTCATTGCCACCAGTTAAAGATTATGGAGACATGTCTGCTAACAATTTGCTTTGTGTAATTTGTTCTAATGCTAATAAGCACCAGCTGGGACACTTCCTGTGGTAAATTCCTGTGTGGTTACAGTGGTATCATCACACATGGGCTTCACCAAAATGTTGTGCTTGAGAAGAACACTCCCTCCCGCTCTTTTGGGCTCCAGGAAATGCCCCTCACCAAGAAAGCAAAAGCAGCGTTTTTAGAAAAGGGTTCACTTTCCTTCATTCTGATCTCCCAAGCAGAGGCCTAGACCTGCATGCTTAAAATCTACACCACGAACCCGGGGTTCCTGGCAAGCGTAGCGTGGAATCTGACTTTCTCTGGGGGCGAAGATGGCAGGTGGAGCTTAAGAACAAGGCTTTCCTCCAGGTCAGGCAAGTGTGGATGGGAGCAGACACCTCCTACGCCAAGACTGGCTCAGGAATCTGTTACTCAACACTGGCGGCCAGTGCAGGAAGAGCGACATCTTTGTGTCCAGAGTCTCAAGGTGGCACTCGATTTGCTCTTGCCACACCCTGTCCCGCAGCTCTACCGTGTGGCCTGAGCCTTCCAGTGATTCTACACGTTCCATACTTGTTGCAAGACCAACAGACACATGCTTCCTTTCATCTGACTTTGGGATACACCCAAAACCTCGCTTCTCTAAAGAGCTCACTGGAGAACAGGAAACCCTCATACGTGTCATTCTACAATACTGCAGCCAGAGGCTGTCTTCATCAGCGACGGGACCCTCAAATCTCACATGGGCTCGGCCTGACCCTCTTCCTCCCCTGCTGTTGCCTCCCTTGGGAAGTGACTTTTTTTCCTACTGGGCAGCTGTGGTTGGGAAAAAGTTACTTCTCACACAAATATCTGTGAATCAGCCGGAGTGGAGACAACACCGTTTCCGAAATATTCCTCTCTTCAACAGAGCTCATCCTTGCAACCCACACTCTCAGCTGGGGACACTGGGGAGTGAACACCAGTGACAGCCAGGCAGCCTGTAAGCACACAGAGGAGGCAGGTCATAGTGTTAGCAGCTTTTTAGCAGAGAATCTAGAGATTCTCTCTAGATTGTTTAGGAACAAAGACCTAGACAATGCATGCAAAAAGGGTAGTGAAGATTTACTTTTTTTGGCAATGGAAAAGAAATATGCTCTGCAGAGCGACAGCTGGCCCGTAAACAGACTCACCGCGCCACCAGGAAAATGGCAGTGCTCTTTTATGCGAAATGCCTACATCGCTTCTCCTCATGCAAACAGGCATTTGGGACGTTGTCTCCTCAGAAACTCGCTTGGCCTTGTGTACTCTCGAAGGCCTGCTTCGTTTTGCATCAGATGTAAATGAAGAACGGAACACGGTATCACAGACTCGGTGCAAATCTGCAGGCATTCTGGGGAGGTGGGGGCGGGGCGGGTTGTCTGTGTCCTGCGCATGCGCCTTGGGCCTCTGCTCGCCGCTCTGTTGCATCCAGCCTTCATCGTCCTAATACAATGGCCTGGGGTCCATCGGGTCTCTCTTGAAAAAACCTAGTAAAATTTCGGTAGCTTCTCCAAAAGGCAAAACAAATAAATACAGGAGTGCCCTGGGATGATTTTCAACATAGTTGGAAATCTGACCGTGGTCACACGTAGGTGATTAACTCCAGAAGGTCACGTGCTTCATTTACAACTGTGAGAAGGGCCGTCCGAGATGCGAGCCCCTGTGTCTTCACTGTACTGCTCTGTGATATAATGAGTTAAGGAGGCTGTGATCCAAGACAAAACAAATAATGATCGCTGATAGGGAAGAAAACGCAGTCTATGGTGAAGGTGTGATCACGCCCAAGTTAGATCTCGGCTCACGTTCAGGTACACAGGCAGGTGTGTCCTGTGAGCATGAACACAAGTGGGCAGCCGGAAGGGGGGGGCAGGCGTCCTAAAGGGAAAGTGTGCTTCCTGGAGATTCCTGTTCGTCCAGCACTGCCTAGCGATGATTTAGAAATCAGACCAAAATTACACACGACACGTACTTGATGTAGCTTGTGATTACACTTTTGAATCATGCAGTGGGCTCCCTACGAAAATGTCAGATTCTCATAGTTGGGAGAAGCAGACCGAATGCAGCACCTGTTGAAACACCTGCCCCTGGAGGGCACCTCGTGGAGCTCTGGCTGGCCGACACCACTTGATTCACCTTTAAATCCCAGGTTTTACCTTTCCTCAGAGAGGAGCGCGATGCAAAGGGACAGGCCAGAAGAAGGTGCAAGTCCTTGGCTTTCCCCGCCTCCAGCATGTCAACAAAGAGGGAATGGCCTGCCTTCAACCACCCTCTTTTCCTCTGGGGTTCTCAGATTGCGACTGGCCTAGAGCTCTCCGGCCAGAATCAGAAAGCAACAGCTGGTTGGGCCCAGCTTTACTTTTAGACCTTTTACGTCTCAGCCTAGGACCCTTCTCCAACTCAGAAGTAAAAGCAGGGCTTCCCTGGCTAGCCCTGGAGCAGCTGGCTTTCCAGGGACAGCTTGGCCCAGCGCTGGCCACAGCAGGTCGGGTCACACACACCGCCTAGGAGGCTTGAGAATAAAACCACGTGAGCGATTTCTCCTCCTCCCTCTCCTTGTCCTTCTTCGTTTCTCATCATCATACCTGAAAGGTTCTTGCCCTAGAATCAATTACTGTATGGCGGTGGCCTAAGGAGGCGGAGGGCCAAAGCAGGACGCCTACCGCTTCCTGCTTCCTCCTCAGCCTTGAGTGCAACTCCCCTTCCTGTTTGCACGCGGAGAAAACTCAATCAGCTCCTCAAGCATCATCAGTGCCCGCCCTAAGCGCCACCCCTGCTCAGAGGTTATATGCAGATCCCATGCCTCGGGTTCAGGCAGAGAAAGCCAGGCCACCGGGTCATGGAGTTCCCTGCACGTCCTCGGAGTAAAGGCTATTTGTACTTTATATTCTCTCTTTTATCACGCCGAAAACTCTTTCAGTACCAAACTTAGTATTTCACTTTCAGACACTTTAAAAGCCCTCATGTGCCTTCCAAGGATGTTAGCATTGCTCAAACTATTTTTAATACATCTCTTTTAGCTAGGAAGTCCTTTTCGAAGTCATGTTGGAAGTCCACCCTTGTCCCTTCAGTGTGGATTCTTTTCATTTTGCACCAAGCCAAAGCCACTGGGATCCTGTCTCATGAAGAGCAGATGCAATGGAGGTGCGCCTCGAAAAGATGCATCTCCATATGCGCTAGGTTGGCTTTCTCTTCGTTCCTTAGTACAAGCCGTCTGCAAGAACAACCGGAGGGAGCATTAGGGAGCAGCATTAAGAGCCACGTTGTATGACTACTTGGAAAGGCGGCATTATTTGGATGTATAACATTCAACATATTCATTCATTGAAATCTTACTGCTGTATCACTGGCCGCTGTAAACTGAGGTCATTGTGAGCGTTGCTCAGTCTCATGCCCTGAACCCTCCAGTCACCGAGCTGGGAGGAGGGACTCTGGGGCACAGCCCCGCGTCAGGTAGAAGCTTCTCCCCACTTTCCCTCAGGGGTTCCACATCACTTGTGTGGGCCGTGCAAAAGGAACGAGCTCTCCAAATTTTTCCACCATCACCCCCACGCTTTCCTCTGGAAAAGGAGACCATCTGGATGACTTCAGAAACATTTGTGAGTCTCTGCCAGGCGTTCGCTGTCTGGCTTTCTGGACCCTGGCCTCCTCCTGCCAGTCTCCACTTACCTCTTGCATTTCTCAGCCTTGAGGTTCAAGTGAAAGGACCTGGATGCATTGGCAGCCACGCTGCCTCCCGAGACCTCCATGGGGAGCTCACACACTCCGGGGTGCAGGGCAGGAATCCGACCGCTCCGTACAGGACAGACAGCCTTGCCTCAGCCTACTTAGCAGTCACGTACCTTCTAGAATCTTCTAGAACCAAAGCTAAGACAGAGCTTCACATTTTAGTGACGTGGGTTCAGACAGCATCAGAGACATGAGACAGTGCCCTGGATCACACACATATCTGGAGTGAAGGCTAGCTAGTTTTGTTTTTGTTTTCTTTTGTTCTTTGAGACAGGGTCTTACAATGTAATCCAGGTTAGCCTTGAATTCTTCAGCCACCTAAGTACCAGGATTGCAGGTGTGCACCACCACACCTAGCTAAGGTTTTGTTTCTAGACTTTTTCAAATCTGCTGAGAAGTGTGCAATATCAAGTGGCTTGTGTCTGGGTTGGGAAAGATGATGATGATAAATTTCCCAAAGGAAATTTTGGTTCGGAGGCAGGAGAAAGCCAGAAAAATTCCGTGAAAGGAATAGTGTATTCCTGGCCTTTACCCAGCATACCCCCAGGTGCCTCCTAGAACTCAGACTCGTTTCTTTTTCAGGACTGAGAGTCTGTCTAAATCTGAACGAATTAGGGGAATTTTTATTTCCTTTATTATCTGTTGTGTTCAAAAGCACAATATTTAATTTGCTGTCATTTTCCAGTTTTCTCCCTAGTCACGTGAGGATTTAAAAAAAAGGAGAAAAAGGAAAAAAGAGAAAATTTAAGATATTATTTGCTTTGTGTATAGCAAATATTTCCACTTGATAGATGTTAATTTATATTATTTCTCTCTCTTCTATACACCTAGAATGATTTTATTAAGATAAACATTTTATGCTTTAAATACATTTTTGGATGAACTTACTTTTAGTCTACATACCCAAGAAAACTAAACTGATTGAATAAAATCTTTTCATCATAATTGTCTTCTGTGGCTATTTTTTTCTTCTCGCTAACAGTGGAAATCTTCTGTTAATTACATCTCATTATAACATTACAAAGCTGCCCAGGGCCAAAAAGTGTGTTTGACTAGTTACATGTGGCTGTCATTATCGACAGGCCTCTTGCTAAATAACCAGGGCGAGCAAGCAGGTGGAAAGTCCTGTTCTCTGAGCTCATAAGGTAGAATGATGATGATTGAAATGTTACACCTTGTGTTTTGTAAGTTGACAGGTTTATTTGCAAATTGTTTCTTTCAACTCAGCCTTAGTTAATCTCCTCTCTCTTTTGTGGTGCTACCCCTGTGCTCACGTGGGAGGTTTCCCTGTCTCACCCCCGCTGGGAGGGTGGCAGCTGCACTTCTCCCTGGTCACACTTCTTTCTTTCATCTTGCTTTGCAGGAAAAGGCTGGAATCCAAGAGTAGGAACAGGTCATGTCCTCATTCCAGAGGAAAATGGGGTTGACTCTGCCCTTTGCCTCCACCTAGATGGTCTTTCCTCCCTTCTAATTAAAGATCTGGAAAGCGGAGGTGAGTGCGCACGTGCATGTGGACGCTTCTGTAATTAGGTTTGAGAATTTCAGAAAAAGATCACTCAGCAAACGTTTGTGCATCCATGGTTTGTGCTGGGTACGCGTGCAAGACGGGCTGCAGATATGCTAATCGCTTGAAAAGTCATTGTGCTTTTAGCTTTCATGTACACAGTGGACACTGTGGGATCCTGAAACATGACTTGGACTTTGTTTTATTTAGAAGAGCTCAGAGTTTGTCTCTTAGAAAATGGTGTAGCTTGAGGCATTAGGTTTTTTTCCAAAACATTGATGGATCTAATTTTGCAGACCGGATGGCGGTGAATAGCACTCTTTGCAACAGCAAGTGGCATTTACATTGGAGAAAAGGAGTCATAAGCCTGCCACCTTGGGGAAAGAGTCTCTTCTTAATTTTTGTTCTTTATAAGCATGATGCAATCAGTGTTCCCTAATATTGGGACAATCCTCTCACCTCAGTGTTCCTATGTAATTGTGTCACATAATGAGAAATTGTAATGGGCAATTTGGTTCTGTAATTCAGTTTGCAAAGCATGCAAACATAAGATAACTAGGTTAAATGGAAACAGGCATTACACTAAGGTACACAAAACAGGGGGAAATATGCTGCGTCCAAACTTAGGAACAACACGAATTCTATTCCTCTGTGCCTCAAAATGTAGTTTACTAATTTAGCCTCTAATTTCATCATGTGCTGTTCGTGCCGACACATTATCTGTGTGTGAACACACTATCCTAACTGTTGTATTTACAGATTTCTCACTGGTAACAAGCAGGCTGCAAGTGTAATATGTTCTTTAGAAGTTGTACCCATTTTTACTATGCACAGAGTTTTAATGTAGAGACATGATGTATAAGACACCACAGCAAAGTGAGCTTTGAATTTTTCAAAGCCTTTTTGCTATTGTTTGTAACTTTCTCCTTTGGTTCAATCTGTTCATTATTTAGAGGCTGACTTTTGTTTTTAATGGATTTTCAAAACTGGTGGTAGGTACACCACAATCACATATGTACACTATACAGAAATTAAATACATTCTCCTGGCCCTAATTATTTGAAGTTTGGGGTCTTCCTTTGCATGTTTTATGAATGATTGTTTTCTAGTGCAGTGTATTATGGGCCTGAGTGAGAGTCAAGAGGATTTC